TTTATATTTTGGGGCTTTAAAGACAATGAAAACTGTTGTTTCCTCAATCAGTTTAATAAGAGTTGAGGTTATAACTGTTTTGATAATTTTACATATTTCACATATTTGAGTAGTTTTTGTTCTCTGTGTTCATTTGTCACTGGTATCTAAACAAACCACACCCGCACTGATGAAGCCAATTATCTGACTTTAATTTAGTCAGGATATTTAACTCAATGGTAAATTTGAGATTTTAATCTTTGTTTTCAGAGGCTAATCTAACTGCACAGCGTTCCGTTGCAAGATGTTTAAAACAATAGTGAAACAAACTAAATGCAGGTAGTCAGTATACTACTTGTCTTTTACAGCTGCTTTTTTATATTTGATTTTAAGAAATGGGTGAAAATGAGATTTTAGAACTCAAAAGCCTTTAGTTTAATTGTCTTTTATTTTTTAATTACTCAAAGGGACATTGTCTAGGAAAAATCTACTTTAATGAAGCAATTTTTCTGTAAATATCTGTAGAAAAAACCCCCAGAAGCCTGGATGCAGTCACTTAGGATCTAACAGGTGTAGCGTTCCATCCCATCTTGTTCAACATGCTACATCTATTAAATATCATGAAAGAATGGGAAATCTGTGTTAATGATGTTATCAACATTTAGCTCTGCGGGAGAGGCAACGTCATTTACCTGAATCTTACTAAAGAAGATTTTGTCCCAGATGCTGTCGCTGCGAATGATTCCGCTGCTGACCTCAGCACCTTTTCTCTTTGCAGCGAAGTTAAGCAGCCAGCGCTTCAGTGGGCTGTTAGCCTGGCTGAAAATCTGCAGACAAAACAAATCATTTTTTTAGGTTCAGATTGGTTTGGGACAGTCCTGTGTCTGTCACAAGTAAAACACATGAAATATATTAAATTACAGAGAAGTAGTTCAAACCTTAATCGAGAGCAAAACTCTGAATTCTCCTTTCACATTATGCTCCATAACTCACCCATACACAACATCTATTTCTCACTGTTGAAAACCAACACTTGATTATTCTTTCCTGAAACATTGCATTACTCCAAAACTAACAGTAACCATATATAGAAATAGATTTGATTTTCAAACCATGAATCGCTGTCACGGGTCAGTAATTTTCACAGCCTATGTTTTTATGTATGGAGAAAATCAAAGTGAACTAAATTATGCAAACCGCTCGTCTCACCTTGTCGTACATGCGGTTGAGCAGTCGAGGCACCACAGGGAAAATGGTTGGCCGCAGGGCCTTCATGTCATCTGGGAGGAGGCGGATGTCGCCCTGGTAGAAGCCGATCCGTCCTCCATGGCAGTAGACCACAGACTGCAGAGACGGACACATAACACAGTCAGCTATCTGGCGAGTACTGATAGACAGTACAATTAATACACATTGTACTTTTTGAAAACAGTATGTCACAATGGCATCAGAGAGAAAATTAAATTATTATGTTTATAAAATTCTATGCAGTCTTGAAGTGCTGAGTGGCCGTAATAACACCTCACTCCACTCAATGCGTTACACAGGATAAGAGAGACGTTATGAATGGCTTCAATAAACAGTTGCTGGGCCTTGATGTGAAATACCAGTTTGTGTATCAGTCATCATATTTGTCTACTCTCACACTCTCAAGTTCCATGACACTGACTTTTTATACTGGCAAATGATTGTTGAAAATAATAATTATTATTAATTCATTATTAGGAATAAGATACAAAGTAAAAGCATTAATGTGTGGAAGACAGTCATTGTTACCATCAGTGATGGAAATTACTCATCCTACTACAGCAAAAGAACCAGTATAAAGTACAAGTAAAGCCAAGTATTCACAGCTAAATGTAGTTAAAGTCTTCATGTAGAAGTATGAGTGCAGTGTATAATTGTTCAAATGTGTCCTTTATTTACAATTCCAAAGTGTCTTCCGGTCTATTCTGAAGTAGCATGAATATCACTTATATTAAACACACACAACTCTGTAGTAGAAGAGTATAAAAAGAAATACTGTGCAGTACAGAGTGAGTCTGTCAGAGTGTGAGTGGAGATTCCCTCAAAAAACCTTCACACTTCCTTTTTATATCATTTAAGAAAAACAACAAAGAAACCCCCTGCCCTTTCGGTTTGGCTGACAGTGACCATGACAGTAAAACTAGTGACTCATTACTCAGCAAAGATCAACTAATCAGTGAAACCTCCAACTTCTCTTATTAAATATGAGCAGAAGTACTGATTACATGTTAACAACTCTCACAGATTGTAAACGTTGCTGCAACTTGGACTTGGACATGAGAGGAGGTGGTAGTTAAAACTGACAAGGAGGATATTTTAAAGGTTCAGTGTGTAGAACTTAGTGACATCTAGTGGTGAAGTTGCATGTTGCAGCTGAATCCCCCTCACCTCACCCTCTCCTTGAAAGAGAACCTGTGGTGTGTAGTTTGCGTTTAGTTTGTCCAGTTTGGACGACTGTAAAAAAACATGGTACCCACTCCTGATGGAAATATAAAGTATTAAAATATAAAGGGCTCATACTAGTGTAAAGAAAACAACAATTTGTACAATTTAGATGATTACTAGGATTACTTTATATTCCAATTTTGCCAATAGATCCCTAAATCTTACACACTGGACCTTTAAATGAGAATGTGGCGGTGGGGTGTGGTTAGGGCGGTGGGGTGTGGTTAGGGCGGCGGGGTGTGGTTAGGGCGCCAGCTGCGGGACGACAGGGAAGAGTGTCTCAGCCGGTGATTGGACATCTGTACAGAATCAGGTAATCAGTCAGTCAAAACGAGCATGCTGGTAACCTGGTTCTGGTCTCTTGCAGTAGGCTGGGTTCCTGAGGCCGGAGCAGACGCCCGTACGTGTGTGGGTCCTGAGACCCAAGTGGATGAGTTCGCCTGAAAAGGCTTGTCAACCAAATAAAAGGACTGTGAAACTTTCTTTACCCGGAGTGTGCTGAGTATCCCCACAGAGAACTTCTGTATTTACAATTTGAGTTATTGGGACACTTCCGTAGACTGACTGAGAATGACCCAAGCACACAGAAGCAGAAGGTCCAACCTCTTTTTCCACCATTCGCTTGAGACACTTTCCATCTACTGTAAGACAATCAGTGTGGTGTGTTTGTGTGTAAGCGTGAGACTCCTGTTGTGTAATCTCATGCGCTGCTTTGTGGGGAACTCAGGTGGTTTCCTGGGACTGAGTCTTGCGTCGCATACAACCTCGCAGTGTTTTGCAGGCACATGAATCAGGCTTGTTTGACCTGATGCAACCCGATATGCACCCACAAACACACACACACACACATGCACACACTTCCTGTGACTCCCGATGACATTACAGTGATAGAGTGATCTATCATGATCTAAACTTTACTACAAGTAACATACCATTAACCTTGACTCACACATCAACTAATATTTCACAATGTGGGGATATGTTTGTTTGTCCCTGTAAGGAAGACTATAGTCCTGACGTGCGCACACACACACACACACACACACACACACACAGAGACAATGGGAGAGCTGCCCCATGACATAAATGTTATAACTTTGACGTTTGGCGTCGGTAGGCCCAGGTTTTGTCCCCATTAGGTCTACTGGCAGTGGCAGCCCCGGGGGGGGGGGCAAGCAGGGTCTTAAGCCCCCCCGTCAACGGGTGTACCCCCCTATTCCCCCCCTATTTCCCCCCCAGGGAGTGGAGAGTGAAGGAGAGAGGAAGACAGGAGTGGAGAGGAGAAGACAGGAGTGGAGAGAAATACATTCTATTTGATTCTGAATCAGTAATGAAAAGTGGTAGAAGCCTGGCTTGACCAAAAGGCTTCAGCTTCAGTGATTCTTGATAAAAACAACCTACGCCTGCCATCAGTTAAGATGTCTGCCTGACAACTGTTCCATTTGTTGTTATCCACATATATGGAAGGACACTAGAAAAGCCCATTGGTAAATGAATCACTTTAGATTGGGATCACAGGAGAGGAGAAATGTGCTTGTGACCAGCAGCAGATAAACTCCCTGCCATGTTATTTAAATATGTTCTCTGATTTCCTGTGACAAGCTGACTTTCTTTAAAACGTATTGTGCAAGTACAATGTCTGTGTGTGTCTGTGTTTGTGTGTGTGTGTGTGTGTGTGTGTGTGTGGTTGTGTGTGTGTGTGTGTGTGCTTATTTAGACTAGGAAATTATGTAACATGGCTCCACTGGGTGAAAAAGCCTGGCATGGCATTTATCTCCATGAGTTGGAAAACGAAACTTAGGAAAGGAAAAGGGAGTGTCTCTCTGTCTCCCTCTCCCGCTCTCTCTCTCTCTCTCTCTCTCCACCCACCCTCCATGTCACGCTGCTGGTCCTTCCTCTGCCCCCGCTACTATCTTAACAGCCTGATAATCACATTCTGATCTATAACTATTGCAGTCCTGTGGTTGCACATCTCAATTACCTCAATGAGTCTCTCAAACATGTGAGCCAGTGGCAGGAAGGAAATGAGGCAATCATCTTGGTTGGGGAATATGACTTTCTGCGGGGGAGAAGAAAGAGAGACTCAATCAAATGGGCATAAAAAGAATTTCACAACAAACAGTGAATGTAATGAGAACTGGAAATGGAGAAGACCACACACACACACACACAGAGTCACCATCACTTTGGCATACAAAAACCTGCATGATTTCAAAAGGACAAAATAATTAAGTCACTCACATCTGTGACTTTGAGGAAGCCTGAGAAATCAGCCACCACGTTCCCATGGGTGAGCATGACTCCCTTTGGGTTTCCTGTGTAAGCAGACATAGATGACACACATGATGGAAGTGAAACTCTGGTGAACAGGTGAACAGCTCTTTGTGCAGCAGCGGTGACACAGCTTCAGGGTTTTGTTGGCTGAGTCCTGCAGCTGATCTTCAGTTGTCTCAATAACTGCAGGTTATTTTCACAGTTTCAGAGAGAAAAGCTGCAACCAGGGTCACTACAGGTCAAACACACAGTCTTAATGGACCAGAGCATTTGGTATCTTTACCCACATATACACATAATGTGTAAATGCTGTGTTGATGCTACTATTTTCATTATTTCGAAAAAATCATGCTGTAATAGTGTGAGATGTTCAAATTTGGGAATGTTGGTTTGTGGGCTGTAGAATCTATAAATACACATCTGAATAACGACTCAAATGACCAGACTGAAGTCATGTGCAAAGATTATTACAAGTGACAGAAATCCCTGTATTACTGATCAGGCATTTCCTACAAAAGACCAAAATGACCTTCTCAGTTATGGTCATGTCATTTGATTCCTTGCCACATACCCACCCACACCAACACACCCACCCACCCACCAACCCACACAGTCTAAAGACTCTTACATAAACCATGATCCTGTGTCTGAACCTGTTGTCTGACTCACACAGTTGTGAACAGCTTTCTCAGGAAATGCAGTGTGATGTCAGGAAACTTGGCTCTGAGATATTTAGCGGGGGCCAGATGTCTCCCTCAGTGCCAGCAGGTGGCAGCGTTTGCAGCACACCAGTTGAACCCTGAGTCGTTTGTAAACTGACACCAGGGTGTCCTCACATGACCTGGCTCTGGTTTCCTTGTCTGTTGGTTGTAATGGTTTGTTTTGGGGAGGAGACAATGGGTCTACAATCATGAAACTGCCACTCTCTGGCATGTCAGAACAAGCCGGGGAGTCCAGATGCGTCAGTTTACATAATAAATAGAAGGAGAGGGTCGTTTATACTATCGATGTCAGTTCAATCTGCTGTTGTGATGAAACTGGATTTGTTTTTGTATTTATTTTATATTTAGGGGAATAGACATACAAACAAACCTGTTGGTGAAACACATTCATACAGATGATGTACTAATAAAAAAGTTATGATACAGCAGAGATATAATCCATGTCTCTCTGCTCGGTAAGAATGTATTTGTTTGTGGATTAAGTGAAAATGTTTTTCTCTTCAGACCAAATTGGATTTTCTTTACAGTAAATGCTCATGCACCTAATAATAATTATAATTATAATTATTATAAATAATTATAATTATAAATAATTATAATTATAATTATTTATAACTATAATTATTATTACTATTGTTATTATAATTATTATTGTTTGCATATTGCACATCTTAAGATGCTTTTAAAATATTACATTTTGAACAGTGAACAACTTGAATTAATCGTTTCCAGTAATTACTGTAAATGTCTTTCATTCTCAGCATGGGTGATCCCAGTCTGAACTGGCACGCAGCCTGGACCTGCCGGTGTTGACAGTGACACGTTGTATCCACAGAGCAAAAGGCAGGTGACCGATTCAGATTCCTTTGTGTTATTATTGAGACAGACATGTGCAGCTGCCTGCGAGGCCAGCAGAGTGTTTCCACTTTGACTTTCTACTCAGCAGACTGTGAAGTGATAATACAGTCAGTCCACTGACCTGGAAAATAATTTTACAAAAAACATTTCATTTCTATGACAGGCGTGTCATTGCCAGCAGGTTGTCCTGTCCAACCTGGCAACTAATAATGCGGGCGAGTGTATAATCTATCAGATATCGAGTTCAAAGCGACCTGTCCACATGTTTTGATGTCTGCAGTAAAGTATCTTCATAAATTGTCCTGTTAATACATAAAAACAAAAACGATCTTGAGAGTTTTAGAGCCCATTGCTGAATTTAAAGGAGCAGTATCTGGTCAGATAACATGTAAGAGCGGCAGGTAATATGCCAACAAAATGTAATACATATAAAACATATTGTTCCTTGATATTGCACAGTGCACCTTGGGAAATGTTTGTGCAAGGGGAAGCACAGAGCCTCACAGAAAGGAAAATAAAAATGTTTGAAAGTATTTTCCTCTAAATCTTGCATTTCTAGAAACTGAGCACACTTCCTATTTTTGAATTTCTCTGCATCTAACACAAATGAAGCAGGTTATTCACAAGTTAAACAATTAATACCTGTGGTTCCACTGGTAAAACAGACAATGGACAAGTCGTCTGGTGCTGGTGGCTGCAGAGAAAAATCAAAACTCAATATTAATCAAAAGAAAATAAATGTTGCACAGTACACAGTACAGAGTTGTGAATTAAAACTTACTATAGGTTTTCTGTAGTGTTCTCTGCCCAGAGCCTGTGAGAAAAAGAAAAATGTTTTTAAATAAATAAATGCCACTAAAATAACTTTATTGAACATAGCGTCAGTGTTATTTTCCTGAGATCTTCCCTTCTTAAATCAAGAATAGCAACGATAGTTTCTACACATGCATACGTTTCCATGTTGTTCTTTGTTTTTGTATGTTTTGTCTGTGTGTGTAATATGTCCCTGCTTGTACTTGTGTGATTGTCAGCTTCCCCGAATGTACTTGCAGTGAAATTATTATAAATACCCACGTCACACACAGAGAGTTCTATTAATGTGCGCTGTGTGTGTGAAAGGACACGGTCAGATTCCATGGTGTCAGGGATGATAAGATAGATAAAGATCTCAGCTAACATGCCAAAGATTTCAGTGCATGCTGGGAGCATTTCCAACTTTGCTGTGACTGGCCTGTTGCAGTGTCGTTGCTGACATTACTGTGGTGACATAGAAGAATTAAAAACACCTTCACTGAAAGGTTTGGATTAACCAGAAGCAACAATCACCTTACATGACAGATGGCGTGTGTGAATGTGGATTTTATTAATGCGCCTGTGGCTCAGGGGTTAGAGCAGAAGAAGGGTGGATATAAAACTGTGCTGTGAAGCCCTTTGAAAAACACAATATAAATACAGACCATGACCATGACCTCTGTCAAAGATAAGTGCAGGACTGATGTGTCAGCAGGATCACACAAGTACTACTGTGTGTATTTCCATGAAACTTGACGAAAAGATATTTCATGGTCCAAGAAAGAAGCCTGTTGGCACAGATCTGAACAAATTAGGGCAGATCCAGGAAAACCTTTCTTTGAGAGAGATGAGGCGTTTTTTTCTGACATCTTCCCAGATTTTCCAGGGAATAATAAATCAGACATACTTAGACGACTGTTATTATTTCTTGTGTATAATTTAAAATAAGCATCCAGGAGATTTTATTGTGGTTTTACTCCCAAATTGAATTTGATTATGGGATTGCTTTGAGATTAAAAGCGATCAGTGGCATTTCCATCCAACCTCCTGGCCCGGCCAGCATCAGTTTTAATTTATCTTCACACTACGATGTTATTGTGCAGATTTACATGTGAGCAGTAGTGGTGGCTGGATTACTTCTGCCCACTTCCTCTGAGAACTTTCAGGTTGTATAGGAGAAATTCTGATTGGATTTATTGACATATAACAGATTTCAGATCATTTAAGTAGTTCTATATATGATCTCACGCAAACCTTGTAAATTAAAGAGCACAGGAATATGCTGAGATATGACGTGTAACTATCATTAATCTGGATTGGCATTGTAGAAAATTTTAACCACTCTACTATTTTAGCATAATTTAGAATGTAGCCCTTTCATATTCATACATACATGTATACGATCGTAAGACATACTTCTCAAGACTTTGACTGATCCATTTCCCCCACCAGACCCACAGGGATTGTTTTTTCACCTCCACTTCCTGTATGGCCTGCACGTGGACGCTGCAGTCCCTGCCGCGCTCCACAAGGGCAGAGTCGAAGGCGTCCATCAGGATGATTCTTCGCAGGCCTGGCGTCTCCTTCCGCTCCACGTTATCTATTAGCACCTGAGCTTTCTCGACTTTGTCGCAGATGACTGTGGAGATGTCAGCTGAAATGACACGAGCACGCAAGAGCATACGCACCCTTGTGTGATTATCGGCAGAATAAGAAAAACAAAAAGGACCAAAAAAAAAACCCAGATGTGGGTTGGGGTTGACTTGATCTTCAGTTCAGTCGATTTCTGGCTCAAACATTTAGATTCAGTTGAGTTCAAACAAAAGCACAGTTGATATGATTGTCTCTGTAGTGTTTGTGGTCATTAAATAAGCTTTTAGGAAGCAGAGGACACACTGTGCATGTAGATGACAAGAAGTGGAGATCTGCTGCTAAAATCAAGTCAGTAGAACTGATGAGCTGTTTTAAAGGCCAGACACGATGTATACTGAATCAATAAAAACTATTAAATGTCTCATTACCTCATGATTTACTCTTTTAAATAAAGTTATTCAGTTGCAGGTTTTATTGTTTATTACTTGAGTGAATTGAAAGTGAATTTATTCTGAAGAGTAGTCAGTATGGTAGCTAATTTCCATTTTACTAAAAAAATAAATGAATCATAATCGAGAAAATGTTTAAAAATAATGACCTAAAAACTCAAAATAATCGTCTAATAACTGAATCATAATTTCAACTTCATATCTTTTAATTTTGACTTTTTCTTTTGACCAAGCATTCATCTTTGTTTTATATTAACTGGCAGAAATGGGTTTCCATAAGTTTGAGTAGTGCTGTAATATAGCATTGACTGTGTGTGTGTGTGTGTGTGTGTCCATGCTCTTACCAGTATTAATGATGAACCGAATGGCGTCTGGGCCCAGAGTGTCATAAAGAGGAACCACTACCATGGAGTAGGTGTAGCACGCTAACTCTGAGATGATCCACTACAATCACACACAAGTCAGGGGTCAAAGGTCAAATGTTAGGGGTTTGAGACTTGAACATTTAGACACATCCTTTTATTTCGTTGCTTTAAGTCCCGCTCCAGTAGTTTGTTACACCCCCCTGAAACTCCTGGTTGTTCCTCAAAATTTTAATTCCTCTCATGGCTTTGAAATGGCTTAAATGTTAGTTTACGCCATCCTTCCTCATTTCATGGTCCCCTGTTCCCTGTCTCACTACCCTCACAGCTTTGTGATGTTTGCGACATCACAAACTGTTTGATTCTATTCATATCTCAGACTGGCATTTCTTTCCTGCTGTGGAAAAACTCAGCCATGGTGTTGACTGCTTATTTTGTTTAAAATATGTCTTTTAAAGGCACAAGAGGGGGACATGTTTAAAAAACAGATTTTCACAGAGAGGACTTTCATTTACATAAAATATATTGCCCCACATTTATATCTAGTATTTCTTTACAATTTAGGCCAGAAGGTTAACACAGCTGAATGAGCAGCACAGTGTGTAGTACATGTGTTCGTGTTTCTATCATGAACCCATATATCGTGAGACACAGAGAAGCAGACTGTGAGACAAAGAGTGACAGTCACCTCTGGCCTGTTCTGGGCAAACACTCCTATGAACTGGTTGGGATTGGGCTGGCAGCCTTGGTGCAGCAGACCGGAGCCCAGATGCTCTGCCCGGGCTGTGACCTGCGGAGGGGGAAGAAGGGACACCGGCGAATTGGACCACATGGAGCAAAACGAAATAATAGACAACAGAAGAAGACAGGAATTCCTCTCGTTTGGTGTGAGGCTTCATGAGTGTGGTGCAATTTCACACTTAAGGTAAATAAGGTGACCTGTGGTGACATTTTGAAAAGAGATTGTGTGTCATAGTATGGGGTGCACTATTTTCCACCCTGTATTGAGAATGAATTACAGACACACATGCATGTGATGAATGGAGACAGATTCCTTCTCTCTGAATTAGACCGCAAACAAGTCCAGACTTATCAAGCTTTTCTCTGGAAAAACCTCGACCCACCCTTCCGACATGATGTCATTAAAAAACGTGTTGGAAATGTAAGTCACCTTAGAGTGGAAGATCATTACTTAAGAAAATTCCCTGGCTCCCAGTCTATTATTCAGAGATTTATTAGATCCTGAAACTGGTTCGAGGGTCGTTTGAAGAACATTGCATCACATACCATGGGCACACATTTCCCAACACTACTGATTGACGTTAGATTGCGCTCATGTCAGCAGCGTCTGTCCTGCCTGTGAAACTTATCGCCTTTGGAGTAGATCAGCAAATATTGATTGAAGTGCACTTGTATTTTGACACTTGTTAACATAATGTAATCTTTGAGGCGTTGCACTATCTTTCACCAGCAACTCATTGACACCTCTTTGTGTGTTTCAGCTCTTGATAACATTGCGATATTTCTATTTTAAGAGGGTTTGTATTGTATTTAGGAGGGGCACGGTTTAAATTACAGCTCATCAAATGTCACAAGGAAGATAATAATAAGTGGCGAGATTTATGTTTATGACAAAGTAACAATATGTAATGATAATGAAGAGGATCTTTAAATGATACTTAAATGATATGCTTGGAGAGCAGCTGTCGTCATTACAAAGAGCCACTAACCTCTTTGTAGGACATCCATTTGTAAGGCTGGTTCGGGAGCCGCGAGCCTAAGCAAGGTCCATCACCTGGACACACAAAGAGACATGAGACAAGTTTCAGTGTTAAAATATATGACGTTTTGTTAAACATGGTGGTGAGTGGAAACAGATCGTATGTAACATTAGAACCTTCATGGTGCACAAACCAGCTGGAAAATACACAGAGGCCTTGAATATTTCATGACAGATTCGTGGTTTTAAAGACAGATGTCCATATGGACAATAACACTGGTGTTTTCACATTTTCTTCATACTATCCATTAAAAATGATTTTGTAAAACGTTTCTTTTAATGCAGAGTATTTCTTTTTCAAAGCTGCAATAGGAATTTGTAAAGAAGAAGGAATTTAATACTAAAATGACTTTACCATTCGATGGCTACTTCAAATTCAACTATTTCAAATATAGATTCTTAGGGGATTGTTATTGAGTGGAAATCCCCAGTTCTGCTTACCTACGCGAGCTGGATTTAGGAGGTGAAGCATTTTGTTAAACTGGAAATGAATTGGTTGACAATGTGTCGTTATTGTAACACAAAAAACACTTAAAAGCTCTGCTTGTCATCAGACTGCACAACGCCAAAGCATCCAGTTACACAACCTTCTTTATATTACACATAAAAAAACAGGCTTGTGTATACTTTAATATTACTTGATGTGAAACTAACCACAAATATAAACCACAATGATGGAGGATGAAGCTCTCACTCTCTCTCTTTCTCTCAGCAGGTGTGGTCGGAGCAGGGAAGTACCTCTGCATTGTGAGTCAGTCAGTTGTTCTCTTCTTTAACTCCAAGGCTGTGATCCCCGACACTGTTACCCCTAGCAACATTAGCCATCACCTTGGCAACCAGAGGACTCGTTTTACCTACAGCAGCAGCGACATGATTGGACGCTTTGTGGTCAGGCCACGAGAATGTGGGAGGGTGTGCTACCTCTGTCAGCTGTGTGTGTGTGTGTGTGTGTGTGTGCTTTCTACCCACCAGATATGTGGAGGCCTCGCTGGAAGACCTCATACATGGTCCTGGCGTCGTCATGGTAATGAGTCAGTAGCTTGGATCTGTCGCCCATCATAGACCTGCGACCACCATCTTCATGCTGATGCACAGACAGAGAGAGAGAGAGACAGAGAGAGAGAGAGACAGAGAGAGAGAGAAACATAGAGAAAGAGAGAGAGAGAGTGTGTGTGTGTTTAACACCATAAACAACATTTTCACATATTTGCCTCTAAACTCTGGGTACGCTCAAATTGAGATACTTTTTGGTAAACTAAAGAAAACAATATTTTTCCAATTTTTTCTTTCGACGACATCGAATATACACCAAAACCTGAGGGAACGTGTGAAGAAAATTGTTGTCCTAATTTTTCCAATAACACTTTTGCTCCCTGCTTCGTTTCGATCCCTCGTGCCTGATGAATTCTGGGCGATTAGAGTCAATTTCTGACGAAGACAAAGAAAAGTTGAAGAAAATGCAAATGTGTCATTTAGTCTGAACAGATCACAGGGTCAGGTACGTTCTGAAACTCACAACTCTGACATAGAAAAGTGTGTTTGTGTGTCTCTGCGCCTGTGAGTTTGCTTGTATTGCTGTTTGTCTGCACTTGTCAACAACACGTGTAAAAGCAACACCCATAGCAACAAAAGGCTTTCGAAGGGAGTTTCACATCAACTATGAACCTCACCTGTTGTACAGGTTGTGGTGTGTTTGTGTGTGGGTTTGGTTGAGATGGTGGCTAGCCTATAAACCAGGGTGAATCTGGGGCACGTTATGAATTAAAAACAAACAACACAGAGAAAGTTTTAAGAGTGACTTAAAACATCTAAAATGTTCATCTCCACCGAGTAGGTTTGATTTTCATCTTTTGTTTGTTCGTTATTTGGCGAGATTACACAAAAACTAATGGATGTTTTATCATATATGGAAGGATGTGGTTTGGGTAAAGGAAGAGCTCATTCAATTTTGGCATAGATCCAGATCAGGGGGCGGACCCAGGAATTTCTCTTCACTCTCTTTACCAGGGAAGGGGCCTGAGAAGATCCCATTCAATATTAGAGCGACTTGAGGGGCAGATCTACAATTTCCTTTTCCCTTTTTAACATTGTAAATTTCTACATGAGTAAATTATATGTAACATCGTTTTCCAATTCTATGTTTTGTGCAAACAAAATATATCATTAAGTTATCAGACCACCACCCTTTTCTTTTATAGTCATATGTAGGATTGTTTGGGCTTGGCGGAGGTATGCACTGAGTTCCATTCTAGTCATAAATAAAAGAATAATGTACAAAACAAATGTATCCTTGTTATTACTTTTAGGTAAAACTTTTACATTGAGTCTTGCTCTGAGGGTAAATGTATGGCATAAATAACAGCATCGCTGGATCAGCATTAATTCATTTCATTTAGAGAGTTTAGAGGTCACGTACATAAGTGGGCTGGCATGTTGCAGTTTCTTTTCTTTGCTCTTACCACTAGAGGCTGTATATACAGTAAATAGCTCTTCTGTCTTGGTGACAGTCACTTCATCACACACTTGCACTCTGTGTAATTATTATGAGCGTCATATTTGATTGATGCTCAGTTAAAGCATCACTTTAGGAGTGTGCTGTAGTTTGACGCTGTGTCCTGTTAAAATTAGAAAGAAGAACAGAGACATGTCATGGTGTCTGCAGGTCTTCCTCTTAACCCAGACCAATTATTGACCCAACAATCTCCACTATAACCTGACACGTAAACCCAGGACATGCATAAAAACCTAAAGCACCTCTGCTCATGAAGCTTATTGTCGAGAGTGAACGATAACAAGTGAAGGTAAATGAGGCTTATCAGTGGTTTTATTATTGTCATTGTCAGAGCCTCCCTCATTTGGATCTAACAGTCTTTAGTGAGTAAATCAAACCATAACTTGAAAAGTGTGGGGGCGACAAATTAGGACGCCAAACATTCACAGTGTTTCCACGTGTGTAACTGTTTCCACACTTCTGAAACTACCCAAAGATATTTTTAGCATTTGTGAATAAGACCCTGAGCCTAGTAGGCGTGTGTATGTATTTATGAGTCTATCTGTGAAGGTGTGTGTGTGTGTGTGTGCGTGCGTGTGTGCGTGTCCTTACAGGCACCTCCTCAGACTGGTGTAGCAGGCTGCAGGGTGGCTTGATGGGTCGGGGTCTGGTGGCCAGCCAGTACGCCAGCACGGCGGTCAGAGCACCAATGCCGACCAGTGTGGAGGTTGGCAGGGAGCGGAAGAACTGGCCGATGTCGTCCATCTCCGGTATCCTCAGGCCGCTCATCATCTCCTGGGCCTGCATCTTCTCCATGAGGGTGGAACTCAGCTCTACAGGGAGGTGGACAGTCGTTGACTTAGGATTCTTAACAACTTTTAATGTGTGTGCACGTACGATAAGATAAAGACAAAGACAAACAGAATCTGAATAATGTTGATATTTCAGTCACAATAACTAACTTTTCCTCATTCAGAACTTTCATTTTCTTACGGAGAGCTTTGAAATCGACACGTGGGACGAGTTTTAATCACAGATTTCATGCATCTTGACATGATCAATACCTAATCAATACCTCATCAGGCTAAATCAGATGCGGTAGGGAAGTTATTTAAATAATGGCTTAGACGTTAGTGGTCCACAGCTGCTGAGGAATAGAAATGATGTAAAAAAAAAAAAACACGCTGATGATCTGGATTGGATTCTAAATTTATCAAATTCTGGAAGCGGATGACAATAAAACCCACAAAATGCACTACGCCCACTCAGTGTTCTGACTCAACCAAAGTCAAAGATGTGAAAGTGTGACCGTCCTAAATTCCTGGTTACATACTAGACTTTGACACTTCAATGGTTCTGACTTGGACTAATTTAAACAGGCGGAAGAAGGATTTTCAAATAACATTAGGGTCAGACATCACAAGTACATTTCACCACATGACATGTAATGTTCATGAAACAGTTGTGCAGGGAGTGCAGAGCACCTGCAACCACTGCCCTACACAGCGTGTGATATTGGTGAACAGACGCACACAAATCTCTGAGCTGTGTATATGACTGTTGTGTGTGATGAGTGTTGAATGATCTTGCTGCTCCTCCACCCAGATCCTGTGACCTTAATCACATCGTTTCAAAAAGAGGGTGGAGGAGGGGTCTTTCTGTTCGTAACTTAAAGGTCCAGTGTGTAAGATTTAGGTGAAAGGGAACTATTGGCAGACATTTAATGTAGAATAATCCTCATGATGTTTTCACTAGTTCGTTTCATCTAAATTGTATGAATTGTAGTTTTCTTTACCCCAGAAAAGGTCCTTTATATTTAAATACTTTATATTTACATCGAGGGGACCCTCTCTATGGAGGCCGCCATGTTTTTTACATTAGTCCAGACTGGACAAACTAAAACCTTTTGAGTTTTTATAACAATTAAAGGCTACCACAGGTTCTTTTTCATGTTTGGAAGGAGAGGGTGAGGTGAGGGGTGTTCAGCTGCAACATGAAATTTCAACACTAGATATCACTGAATTCTACACACTGAACCTTCAAAGCAGCTCAAACTAGATGATGTATACTGCAGCACAGAGAAGAGGTGGGATGAGAAAGCCCATAAACACACATGTAACACATAGAGCCCATTAAGGATCAGCCTCCATCACACACACACACACACACACACAGAGTAACCGTCACACACACTGAAGGTGTCCCCTCCCTCTTCCCTGGATAAGAGTCAGAGACAGCAACACCTGACCAAATGAATCAGGCACTGCTGCAGCTCACAGCCAATCAGAATTGCTTCCTGTCTGCTCTCTCGATCTCTGTCTCACTCTCTCTCTCTCTCTCACACACACACACACACACACACACACACACACACACACACACACACTCACAGATAAATATCTGAGTCTGTGGGAACATACTCTTCCTTTCTTTTTGACTCAACACCACAAAGTCTAAACTGCCAATTCCTTCCCTTGGTCATTGCCTTCTTATAATCTTTTCTTTCCTCCTTTTGTAAATTGAATCAAATCGTTTTGCTTTGTAATTTAACTTATTTGGCTTTTTTTTCATTAACGTTTTTGAATTCAGCAAAATACTTACATCCTTAAGGACTCAGCAACATATTTCCTCACATGTCATGAGTTAGACATCAACCTCTACAACTGACACATGTACACACAGTGAGACATGTGTTGTTCATCTCTTCCATCTCTTTGCTTCCAGTCAAAGTAACACACAGTAGCTTCACCGGCTCTACAGTGAATTCCTTGATGTTACTTTCCCAAACTCTACGTGATAAAATCAAAGTCAACTCTAGTTTCTATTCAAATGGAAACTCTCACCTGCAACTGAAAACCCAGACCACAGGACTCCTTACTTCTGTTTATTTCTTTTTTCTCTGCAGTTCTGGTAATTAGAACCATTCAAGTGCTGGGAAATATTGAGTAACCATTTAACCACATACTGAACTAAACCACACAGTTTGTCAGACACTGTATGAATGTGATAGCAGTTACACAATCTAATACTGGGATCTCTTGTCCTGCCACCGTTCACAGTGCTCGGCTCTGTCACACAGACTTTATAATGTAACACAGCTTCCGGTGGAAACTGACACGTGTAGATCGCCAGATGCTGTCAAAATCCCCACGAAACACAAATGTTCATCCATTTTTTAAAATCTCTGTTAATGCACATGTTAAATAAAGAATAAGCTTTGCTCAGCTTGACCAAATCCCTCCCATCCTGAGCAACGAAAGTTTGGATTGTTTTTGGCTGAGCTGAGAAGTTGGTGATGGCCAGACAACTGGCCCATAGACTCCACCGTCTCATTTTGGCTCAGCCTCCATGGACTACATGTGCTATGCAGAGGCCACGCCAGCATCGTTTTCCACATTACAGTACATAACTTACATCTGACAACATTGTGTTCTTCCATATACAGCTGTTGTATCCCATCGGCTCTGATGGGAAGATCGATGAAAAAAGCATCAACCAGCCAAGCAGTGCAACACACACACACACACACACACACACACACACACACACACACACAAACAGAGTCGTCAACTATGGACTTCATTTCACGAGGGATCAGAGTTAAAATGTTGGGCGTAGAACTGATAATAAATGTTAAATTAAAAAAATACATTTCACTTTCACGGTGATCCCAATTGACAAGCCGAGCAAACAACACCATAACTCAGGTCAAACTTCCTTGAGGCTGCATTCGAACAGCTCCACAGAGCATATTGATAATGATAATAAAATATTTCAGATACAATTTCCTATGAACGTTTTTGCATCATTGCGAATTGACTTAGACCAGAAGTGGGCGGTTTAGACGTTAATGTTTTTTCAATGCGTGTGCTGGTTGTTATGCTCGCTGGCTAATGGGTCTCGGCCACAGTGATGACTGAGCCACGGTGGATTAGTCTGCATTTGAAAAGCAGAGACAGAACAGGGGGAACATCGCTGGACCAGCTCTAAATATAGACTGACTCCATAACCCATTGACACCACTGTGCCGATAGCTGGAGCCGAGGAGGCTGTGGATACAGAGAGCGCTCAGCTCGTAACATACAAATTTTGCATGATTATGCAAATCGCACAATCCCTTTGGACAAACACGGTCATTTGATGCCCAACTCTTTGTTCTGTAATAACCCAGGTAGTAATAATACTAACAGTACTACCTCTACAAAGTTAAATCTAAAGCATTAGTCTTAATAGTCTTAAAGAGTAAAAAAGTAAAAAAGTTAGAGTTGGAGACTTTTCAAAATGTATTTTTGGTGGTTTCCTTTAATGATGAGTGGGACAAACAGGGGCCCAGGCCTGGACTCAAACCCAGACTCAGGGATTCAGGACTCAATGATATGTGCTCTACCAGGTGAGTCATCAAGGCATCATGAACACTGCAAGATAAACTCTGCAGGAGAAAATGTATTCTTTTATGACAGTTGTGTACATATGCACAAGCTTCTGGAACTTTACTTGTGTTGTTTGTTATCACGTCTTCGATGACTCTACATGAGGGAATCCAACTGATCTACAAGTGTATATGTGGAAGATGAGGTGTTAAGATAAAATGTTGTTACACACTTCTTTTTTGCTGAACCCTGCAAAGCCATGTAACAGGCAGTATTTACACAGGCGCAAAACATTTATTTTACTATGAGTCCGCAAATCATCCATGTCTGCTGATTCCTAATTGGATACTGGAACCTGTTTGTGAAAGGAACTGGCTCACATGGAGCCTGCAGGGTTAAAAGAAACCAGTGAACGCCACAGTGCAGCATTCTTACACAGCACATCTTCCTGCACCGAAATAGCACGACAGCAGCAGGAGAGCCGCAGCCTGCCAGACACCTAATTGGCCTCCAGGAGAGATGCTAACGTCTGACTGCAGGCCGCCGTTGTTTCTCGCTCTTTTTGCTCTGTTCACCTCGGTTTTTCCTCTAATATAAAAAATAAAAACACACAAGGACAAGACAGAGCAGCAGAATCAGAACCTGAACACCAACATCTGATGACTCACTTAAGCTTTGACTGTTCGTTCCACTGAAGGACTAAGATGCCAGCCTGTGGAGACACAGAGCAGACTTGAGTCCTGGGTGGGAAGCAGGCAAAGGTCTTAAGAATCAATTAGCCCTGTTTTATATACAGCGTCGGCTGAGTCCCATGTCAGGGGCTGACTCTGACTTTGAAGTGCAAACTGTATTTCTGGGCTGAAAACGTCTTAACAGGGCAAAAAACTTTCAAGCAGTACAGTCTTCTCTAGTTTAGATGACAAATGGGATGGCAGAGCTGCAAGTTCAACCCAAAGAATATCACTCAAGTAGAGTTCAAATAAAAAACAGTTCTCTTTTGACATCATGTTTCTCTACTGGGAAAACAATCCCTGTAGTTGAGATGATGCCTCAGATTTAGAGGTGCTGTAGTAAAAGAGACTGACAATACTACTACAAGACGTAAATTCATCATTGGTTAAAGTTGTTGAGGCTGCGCATTTGAATTTTTGTGAATTATTTTTTTTGCATGATGACTTTGGATCTCAAGGCGCATAGTAAGGTCGAGAATCGGTCGAATTATAAAGAAACACGACAGTTCCCACAACGAGCAAACACTCAACCTGTGGAGATAAAATGCATTAACTGGAAGAAACCTCAAGGAGAACCAGACTCAAAGTGGGCGGCCATCTGAATTTGACCGTTTGGAGCGGTGAAAAATGAGGAAGAGAGGAGAAGGGGGGGAGAAGAGAGAGACCAGGAAATCTGGTGTAATTAAACATTTTCAGCTCTGTCAGACTGGTAATTATAATGAAAATGATAAA